GGACACGCTTTCCCGTCTGGATCCTCAGCTGCCCCTTCCCCCGGGTGCACAGGAGATGCGCCCACGGGTGCTGGGCGCGCCCACAGGTGCTGGGCGCGCCCCTCTCCCGGCCCTGCCCAGGACCCCGCAGTGGCACCCTGTGTTGCCCAGGCTGGGGCTGTGCGTCAGTCCCACCTCACCAGGCCTGTCTGTGCCCACAGTGTGACTTTGACCGGCGAGCTGGGTCACTGCCGGCCTGCTCGGCCTCTGCGGCGTCCCCTCTCCTCTTCTTGCAGTTTACCCGGACCGTCAGCCCGCTGCTAGCTGAATCCTCCTATCTAGAGCCATGGTGCTTGGCGGGGCACTGGGGCGCTGGGGGAGGCCACAGGACCAGGCTTTGTCAACAGCTCACGGCCCTTGACCCCGCCCTAGGCCGTGACCTCCTGCCACTCTCTGGTTTCACAAGAGCATCTCCCTCCCACCTCTGGGCCCTGGAGGCTCCTTCCCTACCTGCTCCCTGGGCTGTGCCCAGTTCCAGGTCTCCCTCAGCCCCCCCCACAGAAGCACGCCTGGCTGGCAGCAGGGAGGCAGCAGGGAGGTGCACTGTGCGGAGGGGCGGGCCAGCGTGGAAGGACTGACACCCCTACAGGAGCCTGGGTACTGTGCCCTGGATATTTGCACCCCTGCTGCAGTCGGGGCCTGACGGGAGCTTGGGCACGAAGGGTCGAGAGTCGCCCCCGTCTGTGGTCCCCCACAGAGCCCCTAGCAGCTCGGTCTGCCCTGCAGTGACAGGGTGGAAACAGGGGAACTGGGGCCCTGGACCCTGCTGGCCCGCAGCCATCCCACTGGCACTTACCGGCTGCCTGCCTGTGGGGGTCTCGGCAGGGTGCCGGGGGCTGGATGGAGGGGCTGCACTGGACAACTGATGAGGGCAGGGCACTTTCCCCCTGCCATGGCTCACCCTCACAGTGGCACAGGGGACCTCACGATGGCCCCAGACCCAGAGCCGCCTCTGATGTCTGCCCCGGGGCCAGTCCACTCCTGGTGCCCCAGAAGGCCCAGAACCTTAGTCTGCACAGCTGGAAGTGGGCCTACACCCCACCGCCGCCGCCCCTGTTCAGAGAAGGGCCAGAAATCCCCTTACTGCACTCCCCACCAGCCAGTGAGGGCGCGTGTCTGTCCCTTCCTGCTTGGATCAAAGACCCAGTGGGGCCACCCCTCCTGTGCTCTGAGAAGAGTCCCAGGGCCCTGACTCTAGCGACCTGGGATGGGGTGTCCTGAGCAGGGGTGAGGGGAGGGGTCTACAAGGCCTCAGCCCAGCTCCCCTCTCCCAGCCCTGACCCACTTCCCTTGGGCCCCCAGACCAAGGGGCTCCTAGCTGGAAGGTGGTCTAGGGATGAGCAGCCCCAGGGTGGCTCTCGGGACTCCTGCTGGGCTAGACTCTGAGGGGAGTCCCTGCCAGAGCTCCCACCTGGCAGCCCTGCAGCCCCATGGACCCCCACAGGCCCCCGGGCAGGGGCCACCCTCCCCCACCCTTGCTCCGGCCTGCCCCTCTCCTGGTGGCAGCAGATGGGGCTGCCTGGCCAGAACCAGATGAGACCCTCTGAGTGACCCCAGGGTTGGGACCTAAGCCACCCCTCCTCCCCCAGCTTGCTGCCCTCCCCTCGGTGGGTCTCGGACCCAGAGATAGAGCCAGGGGCTCTGGAGGCGGCACTTGGGTTCTCTCCCCGCCTGGCGTCTCCCCTTTGGGGGACCCAGGTGCACCTAGACTCCATCTTCCAGTCATCCTGCGTCCCTAGTCCAAGGGTGCCCAGAAGAGTCTGTGACGGCCTGGGCCTCTAGTGGGGCACCCCGTGGGCCCGGCACGGAGGACACAGCTGGCTACTGCACTGACCCCATTCTGGGCAGGCACCGTCAGGGCAGGGAGGGCCAGTCTGGGCTCCAGGCAGCCAGCCGGGCCATCGCTAAGGCTTTGCTGCCAGTCCCGTCATGCCACAGGGGACCCAGGAGGCTGGGCCTGAGCCTCGGCTGGGGCCCACGGGGAGCCTGGCCCCTGTGATGCCAGGGAAGGGGCATGGAGGTGACACGCCCTCTGAGCAGTGCCCCGCACGTCCGGCCCCTGGCATAGCTGCAGCCGGCAGAACATCTCACCCACCATGACCCCAACCTGGCTGCCCCCAACCTTGCTGGCAGGTGGCGTTCCCAGGGGCTAAGAACAGGAAGGACTGGGCGCAGCAGGGCCTTCTAGCAGAGAGAGGAGACGTGCAGCCTGTAGCTGGGGAGGCCGGTCCCTTTCCGAGAGCTTTAGGTCACCAGCCAAGAAGGTGGCTGTCACCCATATGGGGGTGTGGTCCTGGGGTGGTCAGAGCTGCCCGACACAGCCCAGTGGCAGGAAAGCCCGCCCACTGGGGGAGGCAGGGCAGGGCGGTGGTGCAGCCCTAGGAGCAGAGCCAGGACCAGAGCTCCTTCCAGCACAGCCGTGGTTGGCTCCCCAGGTGCCCAGGCCCCAGGCTGGCCAAGAGCAGCCCCAGCTCCCACCTCACTGGGACTCCATGTAACTGTGGTCCGTGGGGACAGCACAGCCCCATCAGGACCCCCCCCCCTGCCCTCACACTCAGCACCCCCCGGGGGCC